TGATTGGGGTGTTTATTTTTTATTCAGTCAATTTTCGATATTTTAGACACCATCTAAGAGATATTGTTGTCTTGAGCTGAAAATTTAAAAACAAAACATTTCACCTGTGATTTCACCTGGGGATGCTGGGGATGGGAAGGGGTTGTGGCGGACGCTTCCCTCCCTCAAGGATTAGACCCCTTGCCGACCCAAAGGTTCCCCTCTTTGCACTATTTTGAGAATTCCATATTTGGTGAAAGACCCGTAAGAATTTCTAAAAAGGCCTTCGGCGCCAATATATACTAATTTTGAGGTGGGAGCGCGCGCCGAAAAAGCGCACTTTTTTGGTCGAAACTTTCCAAAAAAAGGCCTAAAAATGCCTCTTTTTGGCCTGTTTTTTCAAATTTTGGCCTGCCGCGCAGAAATTTTTTACCAAAAGTTTTGCGGCGCTTGGGGAGCTCGGAAAATCAATTTGGTCGACCTATAAAATGTCGTCAAACTTATCAAATTTTTGGAAAATCCGCCCCTTGAGAAAATCGTAGATCCGCCCCTCGATGCCAGTTTCAAAACTTAAACTCTTTTTTCCATGGATTGTTTCTGATTTTGCTCATACACAAATTAATCCATTATCATCCATTTTTGTTCCATTACAATTGATTTTTTTCGCATTATAAATCCACGAGAATGAATTTTTTTCTGCAAACAAAATGTTTACTCGGTTTGTTGCACTTTCTTACAAAACTATGACGAATCCAAGATATATTTTGAACTAAAAATTAAACAATATGAAATTAGAAAACGGAATCAATTCACAAAATCATGTTTTTTTTCTGCCTTTTTTTGGCTGTTGCTTTTCTGCTTACCCATGCACCCCTGTTTTCAATTTACCCCATCTACCCTCACCTCCATGAGTTTTTATTATTGAACGGGGGAGCTACCCAGTGTTATCTGTACCTCTTTATCCACCTTCCCCATTTTAACCCCTTTTCTAATAGTTTTAATTTCAGTCAACTGGGGTGGGGGTAAACTGGAGAGGGGAAACTGGGGGCGGCAAATTGGGAGGGGGAAACTGGGAGGGGGTTTAAAAGAGTTGGTGGAGTTAACGTTGAGTCAATCCCCCTCCCCCCGTTGAAACATCCCCCTTCTACCGATAATTACCCCCTCCCGTTCTACCAGTTTCAACCAATCAACCACCTTTACTTAAACGCGAAGGGGAGCACTGGGCGATTGGCGATTTTTTAACATGGCGATGATAACAAAAACATTTAAAGAAACTGTTAAACTGCCAAATTGAAAAAGTGTTTGGGGGAGGTAAACTGGATATGGGGCACTGGGGGGTTGCGAAGTGGGGGGGGGGGTGTGGGGGGGTTGCAAAATGGGGAGAAGGAACTGGGGGCAGTGGGCAAATGCCGGGATTTTTTACCAAGACGATGCTAAAAAAACAGTTAACTAAAAAGTTCAACTACCTAATTGAAAATATGGAATACTTAAAATATGAAATTGTGTGCAATGTGAAAGTTTATGAAATGTAAAATGTAGCAACTGCACTAAACAAAAGGGAGAGTTTAAGAAAATCAATGCTTACCCGCACTCAGTAAAAAGATAAATTAATCGATTATATTACATTCATAATTGTACTTTCATCAAAATTATAATTAATTGTAAGCGCCAAATTTAGATGCTTAAGCGATTTATTATCCAGTATAATGATAACAATTTTCATGACATTTTAAAACATTGATATCACTTTTCCCGAAACTTTCTTATAATCTTTTATAAGCTCTTATAATCAATTATAATCTATAATAATAGAATATAACTTTTTTTTCAAAAATCTCTAAAAGTGACTCTCTTGACACTCTTTGATTCATCTGAACACAAAGTTTTACCACGAAACAAAAGTTTCATAAAGATCCCTTTATAATAGTTGAAAGAATTCCGCGGTAGGTGAAATATAACTCATCTATTTAAATCATGAAATGAAAGCAGTGTGCTGATATTTTGGTGGTCAAAAAAACTTTAAAAAAGCATCATGAAACAAGTATAATCAAAAATAAAGAAAAAAAAGAACGTTATAAATTTGAATTGATTTGAAAACTGTTCAAAAATTTTTTCCCATTTTTCATTTAAACCAACGTCTACGAAAAGCATAAAAATAAACGATTCATGTGGAAGGTTGAAGACCAAAGAGACATATAAAAGAGATTATATACAATTATAATCTATCATAATTGATTTTTTTCTGCCAACACAAATAAATTAGAAATTCGGATATAAATAATCGATTTTTTCTCAATTTTTTCAAGACTGGTTCTAAAATCCTAATATAATCGATTATTAATGCGGGTATCCATAATCTCTGAAAAAAAATCTATTATAACCATTTCTAATCAATTACATTAGCTTGTTTCAACATAAAATGTTTTGGGGTTATAATCCATGTTTAATCGAAATTCCAGAAAAAAATGCCGTTTCATTAAAATTATTTTTGAAACTAATAAGGAGTTTTTTATTTGGGATTTTCCTGATTTGTCTTGAATTCGAACTCATAAAAGCAATTTAAAGACTTGCGACATGGTATATAAAATCAATAACCTTAATTATGCACCAGGTTTGAAAAAATATATATTCAACAAGCAGTGAAAATTTCATTATATTTTGACACCTTAAAGTGGTGGAATTTTGTTTTCCGGTATGTTTCGGTGCTGGTTTTCACACAACAATTCCTACGAAAAATGAATTCAGATGGAGTTGTTGAGTGACAGATTACAATGAAATTCTTTTAACCGATATTAAAAAAAACTCCTTCAATAAAAAATCCAGGTTTGAATTTTTTGCCTTTTGGACGAACTCATGATGAAATTTCCCTTTTACGACAACCGACTTAGGTTCACTACGAGGCCAAATTGATAGGATAGGCGCACAATTTTGTGTCTATATGTTCCTGGATTCCAGAAACGAGTCTGTAAACATGTTTAAATTTTGTTGGATCAATCAAAGGAAATGAAAGAACAAAAGAAGAACAAAGGGAGCGTCCTTGTTGCGGAATCCCGCTTACAATTCACAAAATACACAGTTTGGCCTCGTACTGTTTTTCTGATTTACAGAGACAAAAAATTGTTTTAGGTGTCAATTAGGTGAGGTTAGCCAGTGCCTAAGCTTCTGCTGGAGCCTTCTCCGAACAAGAAAGTTAAAACATTCAGAAAAGGTTTTCTTTGCAAAGATTTCGAAAAACTTTTCAGAAATCGCAAAAATCACAGATATAACGTTTGGGTATGGAATTGTAAAATGTAAATTTTGTTTGCTTAAAAAAAAAGAAAATTTCCCAATAATTTTTTTCATATTTGATTTTTTTCTATGAAAAACAAGTAATTTACTTAATTATAAGGCATTAGTACCTAATTGGAAATCTTAAAATTGCTAAATGGTGACAGATTCCAGAAAAAGTCACTCACATCAAACCATTTTTGAGAGAAAAAAATTAAACGAAATTTCTATTTTTTCGTTCTTGGTTGCTTCTCCTTTTCTTGGATTCGAACCGATTTGTTTTCGCAATTTGTTCTCATCCTTCAGAACTCACTTCATAACTCACTTGAAATTTTCATTAACAGATTTTTTTAAAAAAATTTGAAAAAATTATCCCTTATGGTGAAAATGCTTGTCATACAATTATCATATATGGAAATTGTATGGTAAGCATTTTTTGTCAAAAAATTCAAAGTCAGTTTTTTCCGTTACCAGTCTGTTGATGAACTGTTTTCAAAAAGCCCCAGAAATTGTTTAATTTTTAATTTCTATTGATTTTAGAAAATGTATCAAAATTGTATGTTAAGCATTTTCTCCATACACTTGATGTATGGAATTGCATGATAATGAATTTTGTTGAATGCAATTGTATGATAAGCATTTTCGGTGTATAGAGGTCAACCCGGGATAGCTGTCGTCGGAACTTTCGGTGCTATTTGATAGCAACTGGCTACCCTTAATTTTTGGTTCTTAAAAAATGCAATAATGGTCACAATTTGGGCAATGGAAGTCTTGGAACCGTGTTCGGAATCTTGGTGATGATCAGTATTATAAGATGAATGGTAAAATTTTGAATGTATCAAAATTTTTCCTTACGAAAACGAAAAAAAAACTATAATTGAAAAATCTAGCTCATATTTGGTTTTTCAATTTTTTTGTGCTTTGATGTCAAATAAAGGGCCAAAAACTTAGCTCTGACGGTACGACGGGTTCGATCCACATTTTAGCCACATGGGAGGATACTGGTTGAAATATCAACACAATTCTATTTATTTTTGAGCTCATTCAGTGTCGAAGTCGGCAGCAAATGGTTCGAAGGAGGTTCTTTCTAGTGTTTTAATGGAGCTTGGAAAATCATTTTGGTTGACCTATTGAAAAGATCGGTAGTTCCAGTTTTTTCATGGAAAACCACTTCCCCTCGCAATAATCTTAGGCCCACCCCTGCAGTGAGCAATCAAATTCAAATCAAAAATCACGGATTGCACTAACATTCGCATATAAAGCGTTTCTATGGGCGGGGGATGTTAACTGCGTAATTTGAAAACTAGCCAATCAGAAACGAGTACTCGTTACGCCGTGATAAGCGATTTTTTTAAAAATTACAAGCGGGGTAGAGGATCTTTACATAGATATTTCGGAGGCGGGATAAAATATTTTCTAATATTGTTTCCGTTTTTCATTTTCTTCTTTTTACTTTTTCTTCAACTTTTTCTTTTTTTTTCGTTTTTACTTATTCCTAGGACATCTGCGGTTGTGGCATTTTCAGATAAGAGGCGGGTATTTCAGTTTCCACTTTGTATTATAAAAAATATATATCATTTTAGCGGTTCTCAGGATTGCCAGATAGAGTTCTGCATTCAGTCTGACAGACTTTCATCTAATATCATTTCAAATTGTTTTTTCCCAAGATTCTGAACGAAGTCTTCGTTATTTCCGTCTACTTCAGATGACCGGTGTTCTCAAACATTTAGAAAATTTAAATGCATCTGCTTTTGGTTCCGATTCAGTTTTTGTGCGTCTCTTTGCATATTCAGCGTGTACTTCTAAACAAAATTTCCAACGTTTTCAAAATTCAGACTTTGTGCAGAAAAAAATGTATGCAACTTTAGGCTTTTTCTTGCTTAGCGTCGGCAGTATTCACGGTGAGTATACAATTTTGAGAAGTGAGTGCACACCCTTTGAACCTTCAGATGTATAAAAAACACAAAACTACTTGTTTTCTAAACAAAAAAAAACAAAAGGAGGCTAAACAAAAGAAGGGATCTTCTTAACTCTCCCCCTATGGTGCCTAGCAGGGGTGGATCTCGAATTTTTCGAAGAGGGCGGATTTTCAAAAAGTTATTGATTTGTTTTAAATTGACCGAATTTTAAATTGACCGAATTGCACAAAGCCAATATGAATTGATGTTACAGGTTTTTAGGAAACATCATGAAACCGGGTAAAACCCGAAAAATTTTATGGAACAGAAAATTAGCATCAGTTAAATAAAGTTTTCTACAATTTTTTTTTTAATGTGTTGAACGGTCATGAAGCTTCCTGGTCATCAAAAAGTATTTCATTAATCGGGGGAAAAAATTCTTCACCATCCCATAGAAAGAACAAATGGTGTATTCTTTCCTAGTTTAGACAATGTACTGAGCCCTTGTATTTAAATGTAATTTGAGTTGTTTCAATTCGTTGGTTGCACGTGAAAGTTATTTCAGCTTTACTTTTTTTTCCATTTTGTATTTGATGCGATTTAAGTTTCACCTTCTTTCCCGGAGTTTGCCTGATTTCATATGAAAAGTTGAAGTCGTCTAAGATAGTTATCAATTGTCAAATTGACATATAATATCCCAATGAATATTGAATGATAGATTTTAGACCTAAAATATTTTCCAGAAGCCATTCAGAAACATTGTTTTCTGGTAATTTTGAATGACTTTCAAACAAAGATTTCTTAGAGCAATTTGAGTGTCAAAACGTCAAATTTCCAAAATTCTTAGCCTTTTTCCATGTAAAATAGTACTTTGAACTTGAGGAAAACAAATTTTCGTTCATATTTTTGTCGTGAAATTATTTCTAAGCTCAAACATACTATTTTTGGAAAGAAGTAACTTCTGCAAACAAAATTGTAACCTTTTGTCCAAGACGTAGTCCAGATGCAGTTTCTTCACATACGCGATAAAAAGGAATGAGCGCTATGCACAAAGCCACATTTTTTTGTTTTTGGGAAGATAATTTTAAATCTGTCTAAATTTTTTTGTCTCTCTGTTTTTCAATATCAGATTTTTATCAAGAAGCTTAAGCAATGTACAAATGGTAACGTTTTTATATTATTGATCTCCTTGAAACCTAGTTTTTTTGAATTTTTGAAATTAAATGGCAAATCTCTAAAAGCCCTTTATCTATTACATTAAAATACTGTATTTCTTTTATGAAAAAAATGATTGGGTTTTGTGTTTTTTGACACAACGCAGAAAAAAACCAATACTCGGAAATTTTAAGAAACTCAACTAAGGTTTATAAAACAGTTCCATAGTATAAGATATTTTTATCGTACAATTCGTAGTATAGAAAAATACTTGTCATGACATTTTCATACATTTTTGTCCATGGAATTGTATAAAATTTTAAAATTAACATTTTTATTTTGCACGGAATTGTATGATACGCAATTTTTTTTTTAGAATTTCGAGAGCTTGTGTGATTCGGTGACAATGAAAATGAGTCTTTATTTTTCTTGGAACCCCTGGATATTTTGAATTAAATAAGAGTGAAAGTCAATCAGTTCTGGACAGTTTAAGGAAGGCTGGAAGCTTGAAAGTTTTCGCGCAAAATGTCCTTTTCCTCCTTTTTTCATGAAAATAGCCTGTATAGGAAATTTTCTAATGACAGAAAGAGCGAATGCGCCAAAACTTTCATCCCATCAAAATTCTTCAATTTTTCAAATTTGATGTTTTCCGGCTTATTTTTTAGATTTCTGAAATATGATTGGCCAAACTGCAACATGTTTCGCGCATTCAGTCCGTTAGTCATTGTGATCATAGCCCCTTTGATTTTTGTTTGATCAATCCCTGTTCATAGGTGAAGTGTTGTGGTATCAGATGGAGCTGGAGGGTAAGCTGAACGAGCGCTTCTCCCCTTTTGGAGTGTGGTACGAGGACCTGCACTCCGCCAAAAGCCAGAAGGCCATCGCCAAGATCGAACAGGAGGGAAGCTTATATAAACTATGGCGTTGAAATTAACATTTTCAAATAAAGACTGATATAACCAAATGTTAATACAAAATTTTAAGAAAGTGGAGGACTGTTCTAATTTAATTATGTGTATATGCATAGACCTGATAATTTTAATTTTCTCCCATGAAACTTTAGTTAATCCACTTCGTGCCGCTGAGAGTGTTTTTAATTTATCTGTTACAAACAGCTTAAAGTTTTGACCGATTGGGTAATTTTCAGGTAACAGAGGCGGTAATTTACCCCAACACTTCCACACACTGTCGAGTGGTAGAGTTCGTGGACAAGGGATTCGGAGTGGACGCCGTCTTCGTTCGATTCCTCCTCAATATCACTGGACCCCCTGGGGAGGAAGTAGGGGAAGGGGAGGGAGAGGGGGAGACAGAGAGTCGAAGCGTGAGTCGCTACATCGCGTGGCAGGTCACAAACAATCTCCTCCGTCAGTGTCCCGTCTTTCTCCGGTTGGAGGTCATAGTCGGTTCGTCAACTCAGTTCATAAATTACAATCTCTACACATACCAACTATACTTCTATCATATATTTTGTCACAATAGCTTAACGGTTTTCTCTATAGCAAAAATGATTTCGGAACCTTCAAAGACATATTGCTCTGACAGGCCTGATAGCTTTTCATATATCCTTTGCGATTCGCAGATACCTTAATTATTAACCTCATTTGATAAAACTATAGCAACTTGCTGCTGGACTATATCAACTGGATGTTTTCATTTCAGACTAAAAAAAATCAATATCGTTTTATCATTTTATTTCAGCTTGCAATTTTCAACAAATTTTTTCTTTAGATGTGCCGCCTTCCAACGTGTGAGTTATGATATCGTGGTCTAGAAAAATAAGGCTAAGAGTGCCTCGTTTTAAAAAAAATGCAGATTGAGTCATCCTATAAAAAGCCTTCGCGCATACAAAACATAAAAGAATTCTTGCCTGGTTTGTTTGACACGCAATTTTAAACTTCAAAACCCCCTATCAATAAAATAGACCTCGAGAAAGTCAGTTACCAAGTGTGGTGTTTGCTGAAAAGCTCCCTGTTTTTGTAGTTTGCCAGTTTTCTGGTCACAGATTTGAAAAAAAAACAAGTTAATAACCAGAATCTACAAAAGTTCTCTCTAGGGATAAGACGTGGATGTTGCGGAATGCAGTTCTGGTGGTGATCTTCGCGGGTTGTTTCGTGGCTTTCCTCGTCTTCGTCACCACCTCTCAAGTCTGCGTCTCCTTCTGGCGGGAGAAAAAACAACGACTGGCCAAGAAGGTACCATTAGTAATAAAGTTACGTTAAAGCATTAGTAATTTATATTATTTTTAGTTGCTTTTGCTCTTCTGACCAATATCTAACTTCGGTTAAAATTAGACAAAAAGTGAAATTTAGTACCAATTGTATAAAGAAAAACATTTGCTACTAAACTGTTATAATGGATTTTGTTCAGAATTCAAGTTATTTTTATTTGTGCTATTGCTCGGGGTGGTTTTTTTTCTCCAGACAAATTTTGACTCTCTAACTAGCAGCTTTTGACAATTTTTTTAAACATTCCGAAAACTATTTTTGTCTTGAGGTCAAATTTCAAAAAGTACTTTACCTGTGATTAGTTTTGTAAAGTAATGAGAGTTTAAAAATTGTCAATTTGACCAATTTGGGACAAATAACGCTCTATCTATTTCGTATTATTGACGCGCAAGAGGAGATTGAACCTGTCTTCCAAGTTGTTCCAAATTGAATTGAGGCACGCTATTTGGTGTATTCAATACTTTGCTATATGCAAAATATATCACTTTGAGTTTCATAAATTGAGTGTGGGATAATTTTCAGAAAAAAAATCGTCGAAAAAAATTAAGATTTTTTTTTTCATTTTTTTTAAAAAAACTTAACACTTTTCTATAAACACTACTCCATTGACTTAACTTAAATAAACACTACTCCATTGACATTAAAAGACAGTAGGAACATTCAATCAACGCTTCTCCCTGATGCGATAATTCTTCGTAAGAATTCAAATTTTTTTCTTATGGGTGTGTGTAGGAAGAGCGAAAGCAACAATTAATGAACAAAAACCGCCTTGCCGAAACTATTTTCCAACCATCCTATTGCACGCTTTTGACTATACTTCCAGGTGAAGTTTGTGGAAGCCAATCTGAAGGGCGACGACTGGTGACTCATACATGGTACGACAAACATGATAATATGAAAAACTCACATGGATTGAAAGAACAGTTTAACTCATAAACTATAGAAGAGTGATTTGGGTTTACTTGAAGGAGGTATTGAAATTTTTAGCTGTGAAATATAGCAAGACTAACTATGCATTGCGAATAAAATTATTATCTTCTGATTAAGAACTGAATGTAAAAACAAAATACTGAAAAGCTTAATGCTCTCGATTGATGGGTGCTGAAAACTTTCCACTCTGATCTTATTTCTCAAAAAAAGAATATAGTTCAATATTTAAGTGAACAGAATTGAATAAGTGGATTAGTAAGGTACGCATGGCAGAAGCAAACAAAAAATATATAATTCTGAGTAAGAATACTTTTTGTCTATTCCACATTTAAATAGTCAGGTAAAATTACCGATGCAAAAAAGCGAGATATGTAAAAAATTAAACAAAAAAATTTGAGAAAAATTGCGCACATTTCTTGATTTTTTTCAGACACTTCAATTTTAGTTATTCAAAAAAACGTTCACAAAGCTACTTCTAAGCTCAAACAAAGTTTTTGAAAAAAAAACAATTTCAGCACACAAATTTTCAGCATACTCAAACTCTACAGTCACAAAAAAAAAAGAAAAAAGTTAGTTGACTGTTTTGCGCGAAACCACACTTAAAATTTGTATTTCGCTAAATAAATTTAAACCTGTGAAAATACAGGTCAAGAAAAATTTGTCTCAAGAAGCAGAATTTCTCAAATGGTTACTTCTTAATATTATAAATCTGCGTGAAGTTTATATTTGATTTTTATGACGATTTTTTTTCGATCTGTTTCACAATGTTTGGGTTTTATTTTTTGAATAAACTCCTTGATAATTGTGTTTTCGCACAACAAACGAAAAAACAATACTCAAAAATGGAAGACATTCAACTAAGGTTTATCGTCAAATATTTCCAAAGTATGTAAAAATATCATCGTACATTTCAATAATAACGCAAATATATTGTCGTACCATTCCAGAGAAAAAGGAACATACTTATCATGTCAAAAATGCATTGCGCGAAATCACACTATTTTTTATTTGAAAATATACAACTCAGTCTGTCAAAAAACAGACAATTCTTCAAAAATCTCATATCTGTCAAATTTCAACTATAAGATTCTTCACACGAAGCAGAAAAATTCATGCCATGTGCTTGTAATATAAGTCTGTATGAAATTGAACTTTTACATTTTATGGCAAATCACCAAATGAACTCACCTATTGGACCCAAACTCTGGATTTTTTGCATGAAAACAATCGTTGCGTAATACACTTTCGAACAAAACCTAGAAAATACAAAACTCAAGAGTTTGATATTTTCAACTACGGATAGAAAGTCTTGTAACACAGTTCCAATATATCGAAAAAATCTATTTGCGTAGCAAAGAAAATATATCGAAAAAATCTATATCGAAACATTTGCGTAGCAAAAAAAATTGATAATCCTTAAATTCCATAATTTTGGAAAAACATTTCCCATTCCATTTCAATGTGCAAAACTTTTTGAGTCAAAATGTGTGATAATAGTTTTATGAATTCAGAAAGTTTGAGTTTTCATATCGTAACAAAAAAAATCTGTAATTCCGTTCTTTTGATTTCAATCTTAAACTAAGATGAATAGCCAAGCAGCTGATAAAACTGACACTGTCGTTAATGATTCGATCTATGATAATGATCTCAAAAAAAGTTAGAAAAAGTTGCATTAATATAAGCAGAATTCGATCCGAAATTGTTTTCGTTTTTTAAATGTTTATCATATTAGTAATGACGTTTGAAATTTTAAATTACCAACCCTGCCTACTGAAAAGTGTCAATTGTTCAATTTGGTTGACGACTTTGACTGACTTGTTCAGTTACCGTTAATCGAATCCAAGATAAATTTTTCTCGCATCAGCATTTTGTAACAATTGATGGTCCATCAGGTTAAAAAAACTCAATTAACTTCGAGCATTTTGTGAGTCAATTTTTACAGTGGAAATTTAAAAGTAAACGAAATTGTTAATGTTTAAGGAAAGTCACACGAAGCAGGTGATTTCTTGCCGTGTACAAAGGGTTACGTTTTTGTTTTGTAAGACTGCATGAAATTGAATTCTTTATATTTTATGGCAAATCTCCAAATAAAGTCATCTATCGCACCCAAATTCTTGGATTTTACCTGGAACAAATTTGTTACCAAAGTGTTTTTGGACAAAAATGAAACCCCCCACCATCCCCTCTCCCAAGCAGTAAAAGTAATAAAAACTAATTTAATACTCAAAATTCATAGGAACATGAGAGCAATATTTAATCAGACTTAGTTCTATATAGAATTAATAAGAATATCAGTCGAGCGAGTATCCGTGTGTAAGGTATCGTTTGTTCCGATGTGCTACAGTGGACCCTGGTATAAGTTTATCCTTCTCATCTCCCGTTTGGGCTTCGCGCAATGTCTGGTGTAGCTCTTCGGTAGGAGACACCTCCATGGTAATTGTGATGATAATGCTAGGGAGTCTACACTGCTGAATCGGTCGCTTTGTCGTAACTTCCGGCGACCGCTACTAGGCTTGATTCGGTGACTCAACTCTTTTCGCTCAGCTTTCTACTTACAAACCAGGTAAAAGTTCATTTATCTCATTAAAATTTTTTTCATTTTTAATAGAGTATTTTTAAACTAGATTTCTACATTTTCTTCATTTTTAACTAGATTTCTAGTTCATTTCTACAATAGCACAGGCAGAAATAGCTCGATTATTTGTTGTTGAGTTTTTCCTAAAAATTGTAGACACGTGATCAAATTTCGATACTATGTTCGTTTTTTGTGTTTTTGCACTGTTAACTTAATTGCATCTTTTTCCGATCTCTTGTTTCGATCTCTATTTTTGGAATTTATTGTATCAAGTTTAAATTAAGCTCATTCTCAGTTTTATGAGGTCTAAATTGAA